ATACATACATATATTTCTATATTATACTTTACATATGAGGGTCGACTAAAAAGATACTATTGGCCTTAATGTGCAAACCTTGAAATATCAAAAAATATATATGTATGTATATTTATGTATTTATTGAAATTAACATTTCAAATAATTGACATTGCGCCCTTCCAAACCGACAGGCTAACTGTATCTCTAGTTTGTAGCGTTGCCAGCCTGCTTGTTAAAAACGCGTCGAAATTCAAAGCAAAACGAATGACAGAATAGAAAGAAAATAATGTCAGTAGAAAGGAAGACAGAATCAGGATTGAAATAACATAAAGTTGTTCATTTGTGAATTTAAATTATATATATTAATTTCATTTCATTCATTCAACTAATAATTTAAATTTGTCTTTTCATTGCAGCTGATTGTTTATATATTTATGTTTTGATTCGTATTGGCGGGCATTTATTTGCAACGCCAACAAAATTCATTAACAATTCGGGGCGTAAACAGTATACCAGTTGCCATGCCGACTATACGGCGTTGCTGCATCATTGGATGCTTGTCGAATTCGAGGCAGCACCCAAACATGCAGTTCTTTGCCTTTCCACGGCCTGACAATCCCTTTCACAAGCTGTGGAAGGAGGCGTGCCATGCCTCATTGAGGCGCATCATTCCATTTAAGAAGCCGGTTGTGTGCGCTTTGCACTTTGATCCCAGTGTGCTAGGCGGGCGACGACTGCAGTCAAATGCCTTGCCCACTTTGCGCTTGGAGGTGCCCTCGAATTTGGAGGCCGTGGAGCAGCAGGCCATGGTGGAAGAGATCGAGCGCAGTCGCAAATGCGCCTACATCAATGCCGTCGTCTATGAGTGGTTGGTGCGGGCCAATATAAATCCACAGCTGAGAGGCAGCATAACCCATGGCATGATCAAGGACAAGGCGGAGAATGCGCGCCAGGTCATTGGAAGCACATCGTTTATAGCGGACAATCGTTGGCTGAATCGCTTCCGCGAGACGCATTTGCAGGGCTTTGCTCAGAAACTGGCCACCAATCAGCTAAAGCCGATGGGCACATCGCTGTGGATACCGGACATTGTGCAGGATTTGCAGCATTTGTTCCCGCCGGCCAGTGCAGAGCGTGTTGCCAAGCTGGAGGAGATGCCGGAGCAGTACATGAACTACATGCAACAGTATGGCGAATATGAGGAGGACGACGATAGCATGGACAACAAGGAGCAGAGCTATCAGGAGCAACAACAACAGCAGCATTACGCACTGCAGCAACAGCACCTCCAGCAGCAACAGCAACATCATCAGCAGCCGCAAATGAATCAAGCCTGGCCGCCCTTCCCCGGCCATCCACACGGTCATCCACATCCGCATCCCGGCTTCAGCTTTAATGACTACTACTTTGAGCGCCATCAGCAGCAGCTGCAACAGCAAATGCAGCAGCAACAGTTGCAGGCACAGTTCCCACCGCCACATGTGGTGCCACCACCACCAGGCGCAGCGAACCCGCGTGAACCCTTCCAGCCACAATTGCCCCCAAATCAGTCGCAGCAGCGTGTCAGTCCCTTCCGGCCAGTTCAGTTGGCCAAGCGCCCCAAATTGGAGTCACCGGCCGATGATGAAGTACAAGAGATCAATGCTTCGGCTGCCGCACGTGGATCGCCATCACTGCCTCTGGCCGAATCCACAGCCACCGCACAGCTGGACCAGCACTCTCCCAGTCCCAAGGAGCAAAACAATAACAGCGGACGCGACAGCGCCAGCAGCAAGGAAAATGCCCCTAAGACTCTAACTGACTGCCACAGTGGAAAGTCAACACCTGTGCGCTCAATCAAAGGCAGCAGCCCACCCGCAACTGTATCCGCCCCAGCATCGCCAAAGAAGCTGGGCGGAAGTTCCGGCAGTCAAACAAATGGTCACAACTCGCCGGAGCCGGACTCAAGCTCCTTGACAAATGTATACAAGGAACTGGATAGCTATACTCAAGCATTGGAATACCTAAAGCCTCTAGAGGATTTTGTGCTCGTGAAGGAGAACTTTCGTGCCATTGGACTGCTGTCGCAACTGGAGTTAGTGCTGCGCAAGGGGGACAAGGCCACGCTTATAGAGGGTTAAATTCTGCTCAAAATAAACAAACAAAAATACAAGAAAATACAGAAATGTGATGAACATTGTACATACATACATATTCATAAAGTAGTTAATTAATGAAGTAGTATTATAAATTTGTCTTTCCACACCATTTGATTTAAGTAACACAGAAACAGAAACTGTGGCGAGCGAATGGTATTCGATGAGATTAAAATAAAAACTATTAATTTATTTAAGAAAAACGTATTTTTATTCAAAAAGCCTAGCTGAGTCCGACTGCACAAGTCTGGCAACGCTCATGTTTGCACTTTACAACACTACTGTGTTCGTTGTGAATGGCATTTGGTGACTGAAATGATAAACAAAACAGAAGCAGCAAATTTGTAAGCAGATTTTTGCAAATCGACAAAATTTAAGAGCAATTTAAATAAAACACAAATGTCGCTTCTTGAGCAATATGAACAGCAATACGCAGCGCTAATTGCCGAAATAACAGCACATATTGGTCGTCTGCAGCAGAACACAAGTGAGTGCAACTCAAACATATTTTTACGAGCAGTTTGATAAACCCCCCAATAGCAGCCGAACGCAATGAACTGTGCACCAAAATCGATGCCAGCCTGTCCGAAGCACAGGAGCTGCTCGAGCAAATGGGCCTGGAGGTGCGCGAGCTGAATCCATTGCAGCGCAGTAACTTCAATAATAAAATCCAGGTCGCCCAGGCGGAGCTGAAGCGCCTGCAAGGGGAGTACAAACAAACGAAAGACAGATTACGATCACAGGCAAACAGTTTCACGACCCTCGATTTAGCTGGCAGCGGTGACTACTACGAGGATGTAGCCATCAGCAATGATCAGCGCCAGCGATTGCTCGAAAACTCCGAGCGCATTGAACGCACCGGCAATCGACTAAATGAGGGATATCGCGTAGCTATTGAAACGGAGGCACTAGGCGCACAAGTTCTCAATGGTATTTATATTTGTATTAGCTTTCATTTAAGTTTTTGTCATGCTTTTCCCTAATCTTGGTAGATTTACATCATCAACGCGAGACGTTGCAGGGCGCACGCGCTCGTCTAAGGGAGACGAATGCCGATTTAGGACGCGCCTCCCGCACCCTTAATTCGATGATGCTGCGCGCACTGCGCGAAAAGGTCGTCCTCTATGGCGTTGGGATTTGCTTCGTGGTTGCTGTTGGAGTGAGCCTCTATTTAACATTTGCACCCAGCTCCACAGCGGCCACATCATAGTTTTGCGGCTTCAAAACACATTAGGGCATTCCTTGTTGAGTTAATTGTTTATTTATTATTAGTTTCAATTGTGAGTTAGTTATGTATATTGAAGAAACTTTAAACACTAAACTACAAAGCTTAATTTACTATGACTTATGCCCCTTGTTCATGCACATATGAATGTTAAAAGTATTTAAAGAATAAATTGTTGGCTTTTGTGTCTGGGCGCATATAAATAATATATCATTTTAGGACGTTTTAGCATTAAATTCGCAGTGAATATTTACAAATAATAATAAAACTAACCAAGTGTTTGGTATTAATAAATTAAATAAATTATTCAAAATGCATTGAGTTCAGCGTTAAGCGCCAACGAATTAGCCAAACTCAATGTTTCCCAACTGCTAGCAGCTGCACGAGGAGGTATCCTCGTTTATCTCTGCCTGGTTTGTTTTGTCCACTTGAAAGCTTTGTCGTTCGAGTGCCTGAAGCTCCATTTTTGAACGATTAGCTTGCACCAGTTGACGTGAGATGTCCTGGAACATTTCCTCAATACCCTTGCCCGTGCGACAGGATGTCTTGTAGGTTGCACTAATCAGGCTGTGGCACTGCTCACAAAAGGCTTCGACTTCCTCATCGCTTACCTCTGGCTCGCGTCCTTCCAGATCGCACTTATTGCCGCATATAAAGATTTTGGCATTCTCCGCATATGTGACTATATCTAGCAAGTGCTGCGACAAGGAATGAAACGACGCCGCATTGTCCAATGCAAATACCAGTATAGCACCCTCTGCAAATTTGTAATAGGATGAGGTCACAGACGCCACGCGCTCCATGCCGCCAGTGTCCCACAATTGCAGCTGCCCAGATTTTTATTGAAATCAGCCTTGTGTTATATTAATACACAATAAAACGCACCTTAATTTGTTTTTCGCCCACATTGTATTCGCGGTCTATGTGATCTAGGCCCAGCGTCGACTTGCGGTCCGTCTCAGTGATAAATGTATTGTTTGTGAAGCGTCTGAATAGGGAGCTCTTTCCTACGCCATAATCACCGCAAAGTATAACCTTTTGCTTTGGTATGCGCACCGATGCCATGTCGTTGATGTATGGTAAAATATAATTTAATTAATACCCACCCACACCTGCCGCAAGACACAAAGAAATATAACAACACAGAGAGAGCAACAACAGCTGTTTCACCGGTGCTGCCACTGAGATTTATTTCGCCGGTTTAATGTTGCTGTTATCGATAACACATTTTAAAGTAGCATTGCGAACTGGCAGTTTTTTAAACGATTTGCTTCTGATTGTATCCTGTAAACATATTTTCTATATTTTTCATTCTTCCATTATTGAGCTAGTCGCTTACTTATACGCTCGCTAAGTCTATGTCAATTGATAATTTACTATTAGGTTTGCTAATTGTTGATAATAAATCGATTACAGTCGCGCGCTTTAAACTGCACTACTAAAGCCGCTTATCAAGATTGACAGGTATTGACATTCCTGATAAGCCATTCCATTAAAATGGTCATCAACGCTCTAGCGATCGTCAAAGCGCCGTGAGCTGCTGGCTTTAACGGATGATGGCGTCTGTAATTCCAATGTTAGCAATACTTTTGCTATGCTACGCAACTCTGGCAATTGGTAAGTTTAAAAAAGAAATAAAATACTAATTTTAACTGACAATATCGAATATATTAGGTAAGCCTGGCTATGGACCAGGCGAACAGGACTGGGGCTATGTGGATGTACGTCCTGGCGCCCATATGTTCTACTGGCTCTACTACACCACAGCCAATGTCACCAAGTATACCGATCGGCCCTTGGCCATTTGGTTGCAAGGTGGTCCAGGTGCCTCATCTACGGGCTATGGCAACTTTGAGGAGTTGGGTCCGGTTGATTTATATGGCGACTATCGAGAGTGGACATGGGTAAAGGACATGAATGTGCTATTCATTGACAATCCTGTGGGTAGTGGCTTCAGCTATGTGGATAACACTGCTCACTATACGGCTACGAATAAAGAAATTGCTTTGGATCTGGTTGAACTAATGAAGGGTTTCTATGCCCTGCATCCGGATTTTGAGACAGTTCCGTTGCATATCTTCTGCGAAAGCTACGGCGGGAAAATGGCCCCAGAGTTCGCTTTAGAGCTTTACTACGCTAATCAACGAGGAGAGATTAAAAGCAATTTGATGTCTGTGGCTCTAGGAGATCCTTGGACGTCGCCCATTGACTCGGTACTGGCATGGGGTCCATTTTTGCTCGAAATGGGCATCGTGGATCATGACGGCTATAATGCCATCATGGAGGCGGCCAATTTTACTGCCGATCTGGTGGCCAACGAGCGTTGGATACAATCCACTGCACAGTGGAGCAACACTCAATGGGAGGTAATGAAAGCCTCAAAAGGCGTTGATTTCTATAATGTGCTCAAGCAGACGCGGGGTGATCGTTATCAACGGCAGATGTTGCAGACGCCCACAGGTGAGTAACGAAAATATGATCAAGTAAAGTTGAGTACAATGCCTGTTTACAGAGCGCATGTACCGCACCATTGTGAAGTACGACATCGATGAAGATCGTGATGAGCTGCTGCAGAAGCTAATGCGCGGACCTGTAGCTGAAACTCTAGGCATACCCCCCAATGTTATATGGGGGTCACAGAGTGGCACGACTTTTGATATTCATAAAACTGACTTCATGAAGCCCGTTATACACATTGGTAAGTAATAGTTGTTTCTAATAGAAAACTAAATTACATAATTCTTCATATATTCTATATGCAGTTGATGAGCTGCTGGACAACACTCCTTTGAAAGTGGGCGTGTTCTCGGGAGGCTTGGATCTGATCTGTGCCACGCCTGGCACAGTAAACTGGATAGACAAGCTGAACTGGTCCAGAAGAGAAGAGTATCTGGCTGCTCCACGTGTTGCGATCAGTGTGGATCGCATTTTGGAGGGCTATCAGAAGTCGGGCGGAAACTTTACCATGTATTGGATAAATAGATCTGGTCATATGGCGCCTGCCGACAATCCCGCCGCCATGAGCCATGTCCTGCGCGAATTCACAGGTTTCGGATAGAGTTAGTTAGTCTTGCAGAAAATCAGCAAATAAAGTTAATTGAAAACTGAAAGCCCCATTAAAGCATGACTCCGATAAGAAAAAAACGTAAACGCAAGTGTGCATTAAGTAACTAACTTATTGGCTTTAGTTAAATTTATGAATGCAGGTGATAAGGTAAGCACTTTAGAAAATAACAGCCATAAATAAATAAATGCCCACTCTTAACTCATCACTCGTGCAGACCTGAAGACATATCTGCACATATCCGCAATTACGATCTGATATGCTTCTCTTGCCCACACGTCACTCAAGCAACGAGCTGGAATATGTTTACCTTTGCTGTGAGTGGATTTTCCTACGATCAGACGGTCGACACAGTCCGAACTGTTCGGTCGCAAGTAGTGCAAAATGAGTGGACTCTTAATCAGCTTTGCCGTGCTTCTAGCACTCTTCAACTCTGGGGCCGTCAACGGTAAGTGGAGCTGCAACAGTGCGACCTCAATTTGGCAGACATCCAACTGTGTTTAGTCGTTGAAAGAACACTTTATATGCGTATTGGGTGTCAGGAATACGAAGAAAGATAGTAGTAAACTATTGGAGCATGTGTTTTAAACGAATTTGGTTGAAGTTTGCATATACCTATCCAGTACCTACTCGAGTAGATTATGTAGAAATACTCAAACAGATCCTAGAACAATTTGAGATCCTCAATTGAACTTATAGTTATCTTATCATTCTACCTACTATCAATATATATAAAGAACACTCAAGCAAATGTAACTCTATATAAATATATTTTTAAAAAACGTAGAATGATTGGACTCTAAATTATTTTCACTGCGTACTAATTTAATTTCAATAAATTCTCTTTAAAGCCCGCGCAGGCTATGGGCCAGGCGAACAGGATTGGGGCTTTGTGGATGTTCGTGAGGGCGCCCACATGTTCTACTGGCTCTACTACACCACAGCCAATGTCACCAAGTATACCGATCGGCCCTTGGCCATTTGGTTGCAAGGTGGTCCAGGTGCTTCTTCCACAGGCTATGGCAACTTCGAGGAGCTGGGACCCTTGCAGCTAGATGGCAGCTATCGCGAATGGACTTGGGTCAAGGATATGAATGTTATATTCATTGACAATCCCGTAGGCAGTGGTTTCAGCTATGTGGATGGTTCTTCTTACTACACCACCAACAACAAGCAGATCGCTTTGGATTTGGTGGAGTTCATGAAGGGCTTCTATGCACTGCATCCGGAGTTTAAGCAAACGCCTTTGCATATTTTCTGCGAGAGTTATGGAGGCAAAATGGCACCGGAGTTTGCTCTGGAGTTGTACTATGCCATACAACGAGGTGAGATCGAGAGCAACTTCCAGTCAGTAGCTCTCGGTGATCCCTGGACATCCCCCATTGACTCTGTGCTTTCCTGGGCGCCTTATCTGCTCCAGTTAGGCATTGTCGATCAGGATGGCCATGATAAGATCGAAGCCGCAGCTTTAAAGACCAAGAACCTGGTTGATGGTGAAAAGTGGACACAGGCCACACTTCAATGGAGCTCCACGCAGTCGGTGGTACTCCGTGAATCGAAGGGCGTGGATTTTTACAACGTAGAGACTCCCACACGCGGTGATAAGTATCTGAGGCTGTTGGTAGAGATGAATCCGGAAGGTGAGCTACAACTTTCCAACTGAATAACTGTTTTTAAAGCTTTGTATATTTATAGAGCGCATGTATCACACCTTGGTGCATTTTGATATTGATGAGGATCGAGATAAACTGCTAGAGGATCTGATGCGGGGACCCGTAACCAAAGCACTTAACTTAACCATCAAGTGGGGCGCGCAAAGTGGGACAACTTTCAACAAGCTTATGGGCGACTTTATGAAGCCAGCTGTTCATATTGGTAGGTCTTGGTACATATATACATATATATATAGAAAGTATATAAAATTTAATATTGTGTTTGCACAGTTGAGGAGCTCCTCAACAGCACAACTGTTCAAGTTGGTGTCTTTTCGGGTGGCTTGGACTTGATATGTGCCACGCCCGGCGCGGTCAACTGGATTGACAGTATGAAATGGAATGATAAGACCAAATATTTGAGCAACCCTCGCGTCGGCATCACGGTGGACCGCGTGCTGGAGGGATACCAGAAAGCAGCTGGAAATTTCACCATGTTCTGGGTAAATCGCTCTGGTCATATGGTGCCCGCTGACAATCCCGCCGCCATGAGCCACATCCTGCGTGAATTCACAGGCTTTGGATAGAGTTAGAAGTCATATATGTTCCAAGATAGCAACAAATAAAGTTAATTGAAAACTGAGACTCATTAAAGCACGACTCCGATAAGAGACTAACGCAAGTGTGTATTAAGTAATTGACTTATTGACTTCAATAATAATAAATGTCCACGCTTAGCTCATCACTCGTAAAGAACTGAGGACAAATCTGTAGTTACGATCACTATTTATCGTGATATTTGTTTATTTTTAATGCTTTGCTATAGAGTTGGAATATGCTTACCTTTGTTGTGTGTGGATTTACCTAGGATCACACGGTCGATACAGTCCGGACTGTTCGGTCGCAAATAGTGCAAAATGAGTGGACTCTTAATCAGCTTTGCTGTGCTTCTAACACTCTTCAACTCTGGGGTCGTCAACGGTAAGTGGAACTTTAACAGTGCGACCTCAATTTGGCAGATATCCAAAAGCGCTTAGGCAGTGATAGAATCCACTTTATATGCCAATCGGGAGCCAGAGGTGGAAGAAGTACTAAGCCAATAAATTCTCTTTATAGCCCGCGCGGGCTATGGGCCAGGCGAACAGGATTGGGGCTTTGTGGATGTTCGTGAGGCGCCCACATGTTCTACTGGCTCTACTACACCACAGCCAATGTCAAGGTTGCAAGGTGGTCCAGGTGCTTCTTCCACAGGCTATGGCAACTTCGAGGAGTTGGATCCGGTTGATTTATATGGCGACTATCGAGAGTGGACATGGGTAAAGGACATGAATGTGCTATTCATTGATAGTCCTGTTGGCAGTGGCTTCAGCTATGTAGATGGCTCTTCTTATTACACCACCACCAACAAGCAAATCGCTTTGGATCTGGTGGAGCTCATGAAGGGCTTCTATGCACTGCATCCGGAGTTTAAGCAAACGCCTTTGCATATTTTCTGTGAGAGTTATGGAGGCAAAATGGCACCGGAGTTTGCTCTGGAGTTGTACTATGCCATACAACGAGGTGAGATCGAGAACAAATTCAATGTATACATATAACATACAAAGTATATGTACATATGTATTATTTATACAAATATAAACAGACAGTTATGTATGCTAAAGTTTAAATCGTTTTGATGCGATCGAATTGAGTCTTAAACAAGTTGAGTCAAATGTATATGAAATTCGTGCTGCCGTTCGTAAAGTTCTCGCATGCGCAGTGCAATGAGAGAGCGAATTGGTAAATAGAAATGNAAATAGTGCAAAATGAGTGGACTCTTAATCAGCTTTGCTGTGCTTCTAACACTCTTCAACTCTGGGGTCGTCAACGGTAAGTGGAACTTTAACAGTGCGACCTCAATTTGGCAGATATCCAAAAGCGCTTAGGCAGTGATAGAATCCACTTTATATGCCAATCGGGAGCCAGAGGTGGAAGAAGTACTAAGCCAATAAATTCTCTTTATAGCCCGCGCGGGCTATGGGCCAGGCGAACAGGATTGGGGCTTTGTGGATGTTCGTGAGGCGCCCACATGTTCTACTGGCTCTACTACACCACAGCCAATGTCAAGGTTGCAAGGTGGTCCAGGTGCTTCTTCCACAGGCTATGGCAACTTCGAGGAGTTGGATCCGGTTGATTTATATGGCGACTATCGAGAGTGGACATGGGTAAAGGACATGAATGTGCTATTCATTGATAGTCCTGTTGGCAGTGGCTTCAGCTATGTAGATGGCTCTTCTTATTACACCACCACCAACAAGCAAATCGCTTTGGATCTGGTGGAGCTCATGAAGGGCTTCTATGCACTGCATCCGGAGTTTAAGCAAACGCCTTTGCATATTTTCTGTGAGAGTTATGGAGGCAAAATGGCACCGGAGTTTGCTCTGGAGTTGTACTATGCCATACAACGAGGTGAGATCGAGAACAAATTCAATGTATACATATAACATACAAAGTATATGTACATATGTATTATTTATACAAATATAAACAGACAGTTATGTATGCTAAAGTTTAAATCGTTTTGATGCGATCGAATTGAGTCTTAAACAAGTTGAGTCAAATGTATATGAAATTCGTGCTGCCGTTCGTAAAGTTCTCGCATGCGCAGTGCAATGAGAGAGCGAATTGGTAAATAGAAATGCAAAATTGCAACCCTCTCTCGCTCTAGCCTTCATACACAAACGCGAGTGTGTGTGTGTGTGCTTGCGTTTGCTGCTGCCATTATCTGACGTTGTAGCAGACACACACATACATACTCACTTACATACACGCACACAAGTTAAAGTACGCGCTGCTTGGACGCTTATCACGAAGCTCTCCGCCGGCGCAGAAAAGTACTCTCAATGCGCATTCGCGTTCACACAACGAACAAACACACGGAGCAGCAGAATGAAAACGGCAGCCGCTGGCAGCGGGTGGGCAGCTATTTTTATACATATAAAACGCTGTTCTAGTCGGAAAAAATTTATAAACAATTGCACACGTGTGCGTATGCGTTAACTCTGCTTCTAAACAACAATAAGAATAAAAAGTGTAAAGAAAAGTGCATACAAAATTACAAACAAAACGCCAAAAAAGAGAAAAACAAAAGTCAAGAACAGGCGACGTTTTGTTGCTGTCAACGCGCATAATCGTAGCCATCTCACACGGACGCACTCAGTCACACACACAGACACACGCATACATATGTAGCCCACGTATGCATGTGTGCCCATAACAGAATCGTGCGTTAAAGAGAGCAGGGAATAGGTCGCAGTGCACAGGGTGAGTCAGTGCAGCAAAACAAAACAATAATGCTTAAAACAACAGCGGGCAATAACATTTAGCGTATCGTTTTAGGTGCAATTAAATAATATAATATATTTTGAAGGAATTAAATAACCGCAAATACGGCAATGCGTGTGCGCGACAAACGCAAGCAGCACAAAGAGCAAAAGGCTCAAAAAGGCAGCGATAAACAAAAGGTAAACAATGTTATTTGTTTGCTGTGCTGATATTAACCTTGATGAGTTTGTCTTTGTAGCCAGTTACAGCTGATGTTGAGGAAAAGCCAATTAAACCAGCAACAACAGCAGCAGTGGTAACAACAGCATCAACACCAATTGCAACAACAACCAAAGCAACAGTAACAACATCCAAAGCGATAACGACAACAGCCAAAACACCACCAACTGCATCAAAGGCAACAGCAACGCGCCAGTCGCCACCATTGCCGCCATTGAATCCTTCGGATAGGATTGCTTTTGATAATCGCATCAAGCGAAAAAATGTCTTAGCACTGAATGAAAAGGTGGCTGCTCTGCGAGAATATGATCGACAGCCGGTGTACAAGCATGTGGGCCGAATGTTCCACTGCAGTCCGGATCAGATCAAACGCATCGTGCAGCAGAAGGAGCAGGTGATGCGGGCATGGGAGCAGCGCACCAGACGCTGCCAAGACAACAAAACGCAAGAGCTGAAGGTGGTGAGGGTATCGATGCTGGGCAAGGCTGTCTTCGAGTGGATACGCCGCATGATGTACTACAAGGACTTCATCATATCGGATGGACTGATACAGAAGATGGCATTGCAGTTCAAGAGCTCTATGGGTCTGAACAACTTCTTTCCGCATCAGGAGTGGTGCGACAAGTTTCGTGCCACCTACGGCATACACCACAACGATACGAAACTATTGAAGTTTGCGTACTTGCACAGCTCCTCGGTGCAGATCAATGATATAGTCAAGGATGTGATGTCTGAGTGCACGCCAACTAAAGACGTGGCGCCGGATTTAATGGACGAGGATGAAGAGGACGAAGAGGACTTCAACGCTACCGTCAGCAACAGCAGCCATCTGGACGACGACGAAGGTGACGTTGATATCGATGGTGGTGGCGATAGCTGCGATCTCGAGCAGCAAGATGTGAAGCCCTCGCTCAGTGAATTAAATGCTCAAATATTGCAACCGCTTCCACAAATTGTGCGACTGCCACAGGTGCCACCCGGCACTTCGCAGAAGGTGCTGCTGGCCACGCCTATCTTGCCACCAGGAGTAGCCCCCGCCGGGGCACAGACCATGACTATCATACCACTGGCTACGTTGGCGCAAAGCATTACGCAGCGAACAGTGGTTACGCCACCGAAGAAGCCAGCTATACCACCACCCAAGCTGGACATAAAGCAGGAGATCAAAACGGAGCCCACAGATACGGACGATCGGGAGGTGGAGCTGACGCTGGAGCTAGCGAAGCAGCAACAAGAGCAACAGCAACAGCAGTTGCTGCAGCAGCATGCAGAGCAAGCTACCAGCGAGCAGCCAGTCGCTGAGCATGCAGCTGTGTGCATCAAGAAGGAATTGGACAGCGATGGCGAATACATCGACGATGACGACGATGACAACGGTGGCCGTTCCAGCGTTACCTCCTTGGCTGAAATATTGGCCGCCAACGTGGATGATGAGAAGCAGTACATTGAGCAGACACGTGCCATGCGCCAGCACAAACGAGGTCGTAGTCCAGCGAGAGAGATTGACACGCCCATGATCACATTGCCGCCCATGCCCACGTTGACTAAGGCGCCATCTCAGACGCCGACGGCGACTCCGCCTCCGCAGCAGCCGAAGCGTCGACGGCTGGAACAGGAGCAGCAGCTAATGCTGCAATCGCCGCAGCCGCATGACAAGAACAACAATGGTCAATCGATAATTAGCTGTGGGGAGGCTCGCAAGTACCTGAAGCTATTGAAAGAGTTTGCCACGTTCAGGAAAAACACGCGGCTTATTGAATTAACAACGCGCGCCGACGAGGTCCTGTGGGAGCTGGACGACGATAAGGATTAGGAGTAGTCATATATGATGGATGAGTGTACGGATATATTTAAGAGCTAGTAGCACATCTCGAAGATGCAAATGGATGCAATCAATCATAGAATACTTGTATATTTTTAATTACGTGTACTTTTACCAAATACAACAAACCAAATATAGCACCTACAAATTCATATCAACTGTTGCATCTCTATAGACAGCTACTACAACTCATGCAAATAATCAAAAAATCAGTCCAAATATATGCGCTGCTTGCCAGTGCGCATGTCTGCCCTTAGTTGGTGGCCGCCGTTGTTGCCGACAACAAGGCGAGGTTGCCACTCTCTTGCATTCGCTCACAGAATTAGCGTGCGCTCACCAATACGGTTACATGGTGTAATTGCATTTGTGTGTGTGCGTGCGTTTGTGCGGTGGGTGGCAATGCACGCAAGTGCTGTGTACAGGGTGACATTGTAAATAATTGTCCGAAAAAAAATGTTAATTAGCAGTAAACGTGTATGTAAATATCTATATCTATATATCTATACATACATATATGTATGCCATTAATTTACCAATGTAAATATTTAACATTGCTACTTAGTGACATTACTCATGCAGCTTCAACTCACAGCACTAAATGCAACTGATTCAACTTAGGATTTGTCATTGCAATTGTGCTTGCTGTGTATTGAAACCCATGTATTAATGCATAGCCGGCATGCAAATTAACGAGTTTGCTTGTTTCTTAGTGCGCATGTCTGCCCTTAGCTGCAGACTTAGCTTGGACGGGCAGCAAAACGGGCATTTCAAACCTTTTTATACATACAAACAAACTTACATCCGTACTCATCCACGTACGTACATATGTGTATATACATTTGTATATATGTATGTACATGTATGTATATATGTACATATGTACATACAATCAAACTTGCGTTTGGGCCATGTGGCACAGGGTGGTGTTGGTTACGCCGGGGCAGTTTATAATAAACATTCAAAACAAAACATTACATACAAAATAACGTTTTGATAGCAATCCTAAAGTTGTCTATACATATATTTGACCAATATATACATAACTGACTTGTATATAAGTAAATTAATGAATACAAATCGTACCCATTACCTACACTCATGCATGCGTCAATGTACATACATATACACACACACTCACACGCTTCCACGAACGTCTGTTGATTGATGGACAGTTTACCTAGACGCACACAGAAATAAACGCAAAAGCAAAGTAACGCACACATACACACAAACATGCTGACACACAGACACGAAACTAATCAATCAATCAATCGACAACAAGCAGCGCTCACAGAGTCACACATCCACCGTCATCGTCGTCGTCAGTCTGTGATTGGTGTTGCCACGAGGAGGTTGTCCAAGTATGTGCATATTGTACATTTATTTAATACGCATTTAATAAGCTAAAAAGTAAGTGAATGATATAAATTGAAAACAAATCAAACATTTACTAAACATTTTCATATTAATAATATCCGCCTTCTGTGTAGTTTGCGCAAAACCTGTAACTCTGTTAACTTACAGAACTCTGTTAACGCACATATAACGCGAAGTTGGCCGCACAAAATGTCAGGGTTGCTAGATCGATTTATTGCTAATAAGCGACAATTCTGGCGCGAGTTTTTGAAACTCTATCAAGACATGCCAGAACTGTGGGACGTTCATCATCCGGATTATAGAAACAAGGAATTAAGGAACGGATCATACGATATTTTACACAATAAACTAAGAGAGATTCAACCGACTGCAACTAAAAGCGATGTCGGACGTCGCATAAACATTTTTCGTACAAACTATAGACGCGAACAGATGCGGATTTGGAAGCAACAAGAGCTGGGTCTGCATGCGGACTTGTGCAAGCCCACACTATGGTTCTACGACAATATGAGTTTTCTGCTGACGCAGGAGTCCTTTCAGCGCAGAGCACGCAAGATGCGTTGCAAGCCCTATAATAAACCTCAACCAGCGTTAGATTTAAAATATAACGTAAGTTGCAGTTTGTGTATCACTATATATTGTATTGTATACTGATGTATATACTTTTGCAGTACATGATGGATCCATTGGACACTGGTGCAATGAATTCATTACCCAAGTTACCCACCAATGCATCCTCTGAACCTCCACCAACCGAGTTCAGTGAGAGCTTGCTGCTCAGCCCTAAGATTGAAATATTTGAAAATGATTTGGATACCATGCAGGCCGAGACTACGGAATCGAATGATGTTGGCAAAGCGGATAATGTCGAGACAAGCGCTTCAGATCTTAACGAGCCATCATGTTCCACATCAACCACATTGACTGTTTTAAAAGGTTCTGCATCGCAGAAGTCAAACATTTCGTTAAGCGAATCCTCCGAGACGTTGGCCAAATCTTGGGCTATCCAATACGAAGAGATGGCCCCCACCCAGCGCATCCTGGCTCGCAAGGCAATCGCCGACATACTATTCGAGGGCTGCATGGGCAATCTGCGCATCAATCGCAACGAGCGATCCACTGTGGATAACTACTTGTGAACATGAACAAGCCTAGACATACTGTTAGTTAAGCTTCTTACTGTAAGAGAGCGTCAGGTCTATATTTGAATCTTGCCCATCAACAAGATTAATGGATATCGTCGCATTCCCGCGAAATGATCGTATGTTGATTTTTTGCGAAATTGAGATTTTAATGCAGAACGGTTAGAAAGCGTCTATCTCACATAGTTGCCAAATATTACAACTGATTTCGCTCTAGTTTCGAAAAAAAATCAATTTCAATTTAAGCGTATGTATACTAACATACTATAACAAAATTAAAAAAACAACTTCTCTAAAGTTACATTTTTCGACATACGATCATTTCGCTGGAATGCGACGATATATGTATATCATATGTATCTAGAAATTTGCTAAGCCAAAGAACTTATTTGAGCTGTCATCAACTATGTTTCCGATGTCACTTCCTACAATTTTCTAAACACTAATAAAAAGCGAGTTGTAAAATCTTAATTAGCAAATTGTACAGGTGAGTGAAGCAGCTGTGTATGTGTGTGTGAGCAGGTGTGTTGGCCACCCGTTCGTCAAGCAGGCTGCCGCCCATCCGGTGATGCACTTAACGCGTTTGCAAATGATTTGAGCAGCTGTTGCCACTGCACCTGTGCCAATGTCTGTGTCTGTCTCTGTGTTTGTGTGTATGCCTGTGTCTGTGTCTGAATGCCGCCTGCTCTGCCCATTTACCAGCCCAACCGCATGGAAAAATTCAAATCACGGCGAACGGGTTGCCCGAGCTGAGCAGATCAAGCTGCCTGCAACGGCTGGGGTCTAAGTCATTGCAGCATTTTGCACCTGTCGTCCTACGCATGTGAAAATCAAGCGCAGCTTTAATTGATACAACAACAGCGGCTACAACTGACGAGGGGAGCCCACAACGGGGCCGAGCTGCTTCTGCCCAGTTGCTGCACGTGTTTGGCTACGACTAGGATACCGAAGTGGGATTTGAAGTAGGCCCAGGGGCTCGAGTCGCGGCAAAAATGTTGTAAAAAATGCGTTGAGCTGCGCAGCTGCTAGGCTGTGAGGTTGGGGCCAAGACTCTGCTTGGGGGAAAAACTGAGCCCTTGACAACAACAACAGCAGCAACAACAGCAACAGMCGAATGCAACAACTGCAGCAACAACAGGGCAAAGTTTCGCAGCCTTAAATGGGCATTGAAATTAAATGCAGCTGCTTTAATGACGCTGCTGCCTGCACTTGGGCTGCGTATCAAAATGGCCTAAACAAATCTGGGAATATGGCACAGAGACTGTTGCTCTGTTGCTCTGGCTCTGACTTCGGCTGGCTGGTGGGCGTTGCATGTGGCAGTTGTTGCATGGGCGTGGCGCCACAAACATGAAATGCATACAAGCGACTGCGCCGGTGGCCGCTGCAGCGTGGTGGGCGCCAGTTAACAAAGAAAACACTAACAGCAACATCGACAACAACAACAGCAACAACAACAACAAAAACGGCAACAGCAACTTTTGCCTTTTTGGGCCGTTTAATGGGAGTTGCCGTTGCCTTTTTTGGTGCAACGAAATCAAGAAACAAAAATCTTTTTATCTCAAGTTGATGTTGTTGTTGCTGTTGCTGCTGCTGCACAGATGATGTTGATGATGTTGTTTGCTCAGGTTTAACGTATTACGTTTATAAAAATAAATTCGATTTGAAATGCAATGCACACAGCAAATATCAAAAGACTTAAGCAACAAACTCATTAAACCCGCCGTCCATTGAAAATTGCTCTTAAAATGGGTTTTGTCTAAATTTAGGTAAAAGGCAGAAGCTGCCATGCCAGAGTTCCATCAAATGTTTGGTCAAGACGGCAAGCATCAATCCATGGCCGTCCACTCAACTGTATCTCAGAGAGAATGAATTGGGCTTTCCATTGGGGATGCCATGGTCTACAAACTTAATGTGAATTTCCTTTATGTATAGCTGTAGTTAATCAATAACTTATTATCCCTCCAAGCAGGCGCACTGGAATTCTTCAGCTGCAGCTGATGTTGGGGTAATTTGAACGCAGCCCTTCAGGCACGACTGCAGAAGCTTCAAATGCCGTTTAATAGCCATAAAGCTGGCAGCAATTGGAAGTCTATATTTTCCAGAGGGATAAAGAGAGATAGAGAGAGAGCGAGCGAGAGAGCGAGGTCAAGGCGAGCAGCTGCCCGAGTTGCTGGTAAACTTAATGGGAAATTTGTAATATTCAATATAAATTGGCAGCTATTCGTCGATCGCAGCGCTTGTTGCAATCTGTGTAAACACAGACAGAGTAAACAGAGTAAACAGAGCGAACATTAAACAATAACAAATTGCATTTCTCACGCGCGGCACGCGTCAGCAGTAAAACAACCCCCATAAGCATGGATGCAGGTGCAGCACACGCTTCCAGCGCATTTTAGGGGTGGCATTCGAAGAGCTTACCCACGAAGCGCTGCGATTCCGAAAAATCACACGAGAACTTGTGCAGTTGGCGGCAATGCGCCTGGGAACGCGCAAATCCATGGCCATGGCCAGGCCGATCATCGCCAGCATGTGAACTGTCCCTGGTAAAGTTGAAGTGAATAGAGAACGAGAGAGAAAGAGAGAAAGGGAGAGGTAGTGCGGTTGGGTAAATTGCTGGCCATCCGC